TGAAATAGATTCAGTGGTTTCTTCTTCCAATGTTCACCTGACTTTGTTTTACTACAATGATCGCGTGTTCCCATCATTTCTTTGAGCTGTTTATTATTTACAAATCTTAAATTTAAACTAATAAATGTGTGTGTGTGTGTGTGTTCAGACTCAGCAGATAACTCCTCAGCTCGCTCTTCAGGTCCTCCTCCAGTTCGATAAAGCCATCAACACAGCGCTCGCCAACCGAGTCCGCAACAGGGTCAATTTCAGGGTGAGTCCATCTGTATTTTCTCAAGCCCCGCCTCCTAAAAAAAAAAAAATCATCCAACCCCGCCTCTGTCTCTGTCTCCACCTCTCAGGGATCTCTGAACACATACAGGTTCTGCGACAACGTGTGGACGTTCGTTCTGAACGACGTTGAGTTCAGAGAGGTCACCGAGCTCGTGAAGGTCGACAAGGTCAAGATTGTCGCCTGTGATGGAAAGAGCGAGTCGACCCACAACAAAACTGATAAATGGCAAGTACAACACACACACATGTGCGCATGTCCATCAGGATCGGTCCTGCTTGTTTACGTTCTGCTGTGTTTCTGTGCTTCAGCTTTACTCGCGTTATTCCTTTTTTAATGCTTGGACTCTGAGGGGAGCTTTGCATGATTGTTCAGAATAATCCTTTATCTCAGCGTGCGTGTTTTAACGTTCGAAAACACTTTGCTGTCTCTTCATTTACACACGTGCAGAAGTGCAGCTATTTCCTACCTTGACCTTTCACAATAAAATCCACAGATAAATATGCTGTTTAATAAGTAAAAAAGGCTTTAAGGTCTGATTTGTGAAAGCAGATGCTGATACCACAGCATAAAGATGCAGTCAACATAAAGTTGCTCCAGCAGATTCTCACATTTTCTTCTTCTGTGTCGTGTTATTCGTCGTTAACGTCGTCTTTTCTTCTCTTTAGATTTGGGCGGCCGGCTCTCTGGGAGTTCCTCTGTGGGACAAAGTCCCGGATGGACCTGGACTGTACATATAATTTATTACAGCGGTCACCTGTGTGGGTGTGTGCGGCAGTTTGCTTTGTTTTTTATTGTTTACGGAAGTTTTTGTTCAGTTTGTTGTGATTACTGAGTCATGAATAAAAACTTTATTTAAAACACAAACAACCTCTGAGCATTCGAGCTCTTCTGTTCCATCAGGTATCATGACGGACAAAGGTTTTTAAAAAAAGAGGTGGGGGTTGATATTCTGAGCTTTAAATTCAAAAGAAGAACAAATCCCCCCTCAAATTTGTGAGAAAAAGCTCAAATTTACAAGAAGAAATTTCAGATTTGCGAGAATTAAAAACCTTAAACCAAAAGACAAAAACTGAGATTCATGAAAAGCTTCGGATCTGTGAAAATGAGATTGTGAGAAACACAAAATTAAACAGCGATTTCTTCAGATTATAAAAGGACCGAAGA